AACAGGACTGTTTGCCTAGTAACGAACTCTGATTGGATGACATCGTGGGAAGGTGCGATGAGCCCTTGCCAGTTACTCTTGAAAAAGGAACTTTTTCTCTATGGACTTGGTCTTTCCAAGACCGACCTTTCAGTGATTCGTGACCTACTCTTCAGCCATTTGGGACTCACCCTAATGTCTTTCGAGACGGACTGGTGGCCTACCTACATGGACTGGTTCCTATGCTTTGCTGGATTACTTTTGGACTTATGGGATTTTTCCTAAGGACTGTGCATGGACTATTTTCTATGGACTGTTCTATGGAATATTCTTTATGGACTTCTTTTCTTGGAATACTCCATATGGACTATGCTCTTGTAATTTTGTAAGGACTATGGTATATTTACTGGATTTTTCTTTTCTAAGGACTATGGGACATATAATGGATTTTTACTTTTGTTTAGGGGTTTTTATTCTATGGGATCACTGAGGACTATAGCCTTTTTATAACCTACTTGGATTATTTTGTTTTTACTAATGATTTCCTGGACTGGAACTGTTTTTATTCTTTTTAATGGCTTTTTGTGTTTTTGTAAGGTTTTTGAACACTTTTCTATTTTTCTTGTTTTCTTTGCCTCACTACATCTTTGTAACTTACCAGCACAATGCTAGTTTATTTGTTTTGGTTTAATTTGGCTTTGATACTTAGTAACATGCTTTTTCTTTAATAAAATAAAGATTATAAAACTCATTTGGTTTCCTGAACAGTACACTTGTCATAGGGTCATCTGAGAGTGCTGCCTCGGCCTAGCTTACTTAGAGTCCTGTCAGTGGTGCAAGTTAAGTCTAACTACTACAAAGCCCACTTGACCTTTTCATAATAATATCTGAGAGTACAAGGGTGTTCTTATGTGGGCAGACCTGTGAGAAGGAGTGTTGTATCATGGCTAGCTGAATTTGGACTCATTCAGCCCATTTTAGCATGTGCAAACTCCTGATTGCTCTCTGTCCAGGCTTACACGTGTTTTTGGACCCGTGTTTGCTGACAGTAAGTACCCAGAAATTTAAAACTACCAACTTTGTCCACTTCCTCACCGTTTATGTACAGTGATAAATGTACATTTCTCTTCCTCCTAAAATCAATTATGAGTTCTTTAGTTTTTTTGATGTTAAATGTGAGATGATTTTCTCTGACTTTTATAGAGAAAGACGATAAAAGTTTAAAAATATGTCTCGAGACGGGAGGCAGAAACAAGTTACAATGGGTGTTGTGCAAGTATTTTAATTATTTTGTTCATAAGCAAAAAAAGGGGGGGAGCATAACATCATAAATGCCTGGCATTTCCTTTGTACCTGAAGAAACCTGCATATACAGGTGAGGAGCATGCTGCATGTTTCTGAAATCAGTACAGTACCTCAAATTAACTAAATTGCATAAATGTAAGAAGGGAAAGGCAGAAAGGAGCATGTCTGATCTTGGACTGTGGTGCAAGTAAAATTGTGCCATTTGAAATACCTCAAGGCTGGTTCTCACTGTTGTTTCCAGCATAGAGACCTGTGGATTTGCATGCCAATCATTTCACATTTGGGCCCACAGAGACTTCCAAGGCTTCTTTACTACTGAGTTATAGGGGTAATTCCGCCATTAGAAATCTTTAAGATTCTATTCAGTAAGCTGTCACAACATTTCTTCTTACGTAAACAACATGTGGTGTGGAGAATCTTGTGAACTGGATACTCTGACAAATAATATATCTGTTGTATCTTGATTATGTTTCAGTACTTAATGTAACCAAACAGCAGAACATTCATGCAAAGAATGTTTCATAGTATTTTGAAATGCATTGAAAAGCAGGTATCCTATATGTGCAATTATTGTTGTGCCAATCCAAAACACACCTTAGATATATCTTCTCAATGATTGAAATTATGCAAAACGTTGGTGGCAAGGCTCTTGTCACAAAAATGTACACATGTATGAAAGAACAACATAAACATGCACACTCATTTTTGCATGTTTCTTCTAATGTATTCATTTTCGTACACATTTGCCCTAGTACATGCATTTTATACACATTCTTTGAGTACGGCTCCCATTGCATATATTTATTCTATGCATTTCTCCCATTATATGCATTGTTGTACACATGTTTTGATCAGAGAAATACAATTTTGAAAATGAAAAAATGGAATGATAATGACATCCTGGCTCACATAATTTTGGGAGAGCAAATTAGATCAATTTGTATTAAAACGTACACCAAATGACAGACCTAAGAAGGGATTTGGAGCCACAATCGTGGCACAAATAAATTCAGCTGAATAACTAACTCCTTTGAAAATGGCAAATTTATATTGAGAATGGTTAGGAAATAAATAAAAAAGAAAACAGCCAATACTGAAGTGCTTCACTGAAAATTGTGTACAGACCCGGTGCTAGGAAGGAAGAAAATCTGCATGTTTCACTATAAGAGTGATGCTTCATAAATTTAGCTATTAATTTGTTTTCTTTTATGGATTATCTGGGTTTTGTAACTTTCTAGTTTATTAGTGCTGCCAAGTCACATCCATCTTTCATAATTTACAAATACTTGAGTATATTCATTTCTCTCTTTTTTTGCATCTTAGCTTAGATCATCATTCTCCACTCACCATTTTTTAATTTTAATGTATAGATTGGGTTTTGTAAGGCAATCAACTGAGGCAGAAATAATTTCCAGTTGAGCCTCCCTGTCCTTTTCAGAACAGACTAAAAAAGAGGCTTTGCTTCAACAGATTAGATATGATAGATCATGCTTTCTTGGCTAATATGAAAAATGTGTGCAGAGCTAAGCTCCTTGGTAGCTGGTCAATTATGACAGAGTTTCATACAGCAGTGTGTTGGAGACTGAAAAGAGGAGGATGGTTCTATCAAAATACATGTGTTGACTTGCAATCCTGAATTACAGTTTTATGAGTGATATCTAACAGTGCCTTCTTGTCAGC